TGGGGGCCGTGTGCGGGGGGGCGGGGGGGCCTGCCGCTTGTCACTTACTGCTCCGCTGCTGCACAACAGGAAAAGCTCCGGGGCGATTGCGCCTGCGTGCGGGCCCCTTGCAGCAGTAGCGGCGCACACGCCTGCGGTGGGGGGATGCAGCGGGAGGTGGTTTCCCTCACCTGGCAGGGGAGATCCCCGCCTTCTCCGCCTCGAGCGGCTCGGCGCGGGTAGGCACCCCTGCCAGCGCCTCCCAATGCCAGGATCTCGGCTGTGCGGCCTTCGGGGCTGCTGTCTGGCTTCCCCTCTGGCCTACTCCTTCCGCCTTCTGGCTACGGGCACCTGAGCCCAGGGGGCACCGGGACTCCAAGGGCTCTGGCACTTAGGGCGCCTGCCAGGGGGTTGGGGCGGAGGATACTTGCGGGCGGTCTCGTCACGCAGACTTGAACGATTCAGCCTGCAGGATTCAGAACCGATTTGGCGCGAGACACACAAACAAATAAAGCAGTGGCATACACAGGTTCGTCCATGCACTGCTGCAGTCCTTTTGTGTCAGGGTTGGGGGCATCCTTCACTTAGCTTTCCTTTTGCTTCAGTGACTCTCTCTGTCCAGGTCCCAGCTCTGCTATAGGGCTGAGGAAGAAGCATAGAAAGAAGAAAAGGGGGGGGGGGGGGGTGCTTGGTTGGCTAGGTTGGGAGCTTTCGCATTAGGGAGATGGGTGGATGACAGCTACCATTAAAAAATGATGCATTTCTTGAAGTGAGTGCTCACAATGTTATAGCAGGGAAGGAGGCTATCTTCCATGCAGGATCTAACTGCCAGGGTGTTGAGCTAGCCTTTTGCAGAAGGTGCATGTTAGCCTTATACTGTGCCATCTTACCTTTCCTCCCTGTTCTGTATAGCAGTGTATACAGTGTGCTTGCTACGAAACAACTGGGAAGAATGGATGACCTTTGAGCAAGTCTCTGCCACAGACTTAAGTGACCTTAGGAAAGTTGTCTAACCTCTACCTTGGTTTCACAATAGGATACATAAACAAGGGATAATAATAACTAGTTTATTGGGTGTTGGATGCTCTCTTCATCTGTATTATAAATACCCAGGGGGAAGCAACTCTGAAAACGCAAAATGCTTTATCAGTTTCTAGGGATAAATTAGTTTCAGACTCGATAAGATTTTTGTTCTGGTTTTTGGAGTATCAGTAGTACTAAAATGTACAAATGTACTGTTACTGCTTTGACTTAATTAAAAATGAAGTTATGCAACAAAAAAAATCATTTTCAAAGTCTGTGCATGCATGCACACATGCTTATGCACGTACCCCCCCCCCCGCCTTTCTTCTTGAAATATCACTTATCATGCAAATGGCTAGGTTTTCAAAAGCACTCAGCTCCCATCATTTGGCTGCTGGGTGGTGAGCTCCTTTGAAAATCTGGCCCTTAGATCTTGATCATACAGTGAGCTTTTCATAAAGCAGGACTACTGAACCATTCAAGTCCATGAATCTTTGTGTTGAGTGCACTCATCCATCCACCTGCACTGAGCCCTTTGCAGCATCAAAGCAGTACATGCTGGGAAAGAAAGAATTTTGTTTTCTGTCATTCCATGTATTCACATAGAGCTTATCAAACAAAACGGCTTTTAATTTTAGGTGACTCTGTGCTACAGAACAATTTAATGTCAAAATAGTTCACTAGCTTTGGAGCAAGAAGAATGGGCTAGAGGGTGGGGGGAGGTTGTTAAGAAAAACAACCTCTGATTATCAAGTAACTTTAAGGTTACCTGACACCCTTAAGGTACTTACTAAGAGTATGTCACTTGAATAGTCTAATGCACAGAAATGCCTAGTGTTCATAGATTTTATAGACACTAGGGCTGGATAGACACCATGGCTGGAAGGGGCCTCGCAAGATCATCAGGTCCAGCCCCCTGCCCAAAGGGCAGGAAGTCAGTAAGGGTCAAATGATCCCAGCAAGATAGGCATCCAAGTGTTTTTTAAAGTATCCAGAGTAGGTGTTTGCACCACCTCTGGGGGGAGTCTGTGCTATACCAGATTTTTTCTTCCTGTTGTTAGGTGTGAAGTAAATAAAACAGAATAATAAATAGAGATAAAGGACTGCAGGAGAGGTAAGAGATGAACAATAATTATTTGTTTCTCAAAATTCCAGCCAAGTGCACCCAACTGAGGGTCAATCAATAGGCATGTGGGAAGTTCTGTAAGTGGATCAGCAATGCCACATGCACAGTACAGCTGGCAGTTGAACTTGTATTTATTTGAGACAGATTTCTTTGGCCGGTGATAAACCCTCCCTGTTTTACAGTCATCCAGGTTAACTGGTTCTATATTATAGAATAATAATCCCCTTCTCAAAGATGGTTGGTGTTTGAACCAGAGCCACCGTTCTCTCCTGAAACTGTCACTTCCCTACAAGTTGTTTGAGTTAGAACAAAGTAGGCAGCCAAGCCGATACCACCTGCTGCAAGTTATTAGATTGTTGATGCCAATAATTCTGGCTCAGTCCATTCAGTAAATGGGGAAAGAATGCTTCCTGTCCTATGATTAATACTTTCATTCTTATGTCTTTTTTTAATAGGTTGGAGGCCAGTCCTAGGACTATCTGTCACACGCTCCAGCCTGATCTTGTTTCTTGATCTTGATGCTGCTGCTTTGAGTATACATAACCGCAGCCCTAGACAACACACCTCAGTTGGAGAGGACACCTGTTCATGCCTGCCTCTGACTGATATCTTGGGTATGTGCACACAGAGTGGGTGGAGTTGTACGAACCTTTCGTTTACAACCTGGAGTTGTAAACCCAGACTAGTCATGCCCAACTCATAGCTCACAGGTAACTCTTATTATCCATGCATCCCTCCAATACTGTTAGCAGACATAGGACATTGATAAGTTAAAACTGAGATTGACAAAAGGAATACAGGATGACATTGCCACAATTTATCACTGCCTCAGTATAGCAGCCTGTGGGCCACTGAAGGCTTTGAAACACTGTTGTATACACAGGCCATTTCTCCTTAGAGGTCTATAGTTTTGCAGCCTTTTGAAGCAAACTTTATGAAGCTGTCTGCAACAGTAACTTTCTTAAGAACAACATTTTTTAAAAATAAAGTGAAACTAGTAGTGAAACAAAATATACTGTTTACATAATTTGTGTCTTGATTGATTTTTCCTATGAATGAAACTAAAGAGTATCTTCTCTTAGGTACAAAGAAAAGAAACATAATATCCTAGTCTTTCAAAAGCTATTTCCCTTTCTGAACAGTTGTTGGTCAGTGACACATTTTTTCTCCTTTCTGTGACAGAGAAAGAGATCTTTCCACTTCTTGGGGAAAACACATTTTGAAGTCCTGTTTTTAAGACCCAGTCCATGATTCAAGTTGCTCTGATATGCCTAAGTAGCAAATACATGATGATTTTATATAGTCTTGTCAGGAGGTGTTTGGCTCCTCAAAGGGTAAGAATCCAGGTGCAGGGGGTCAGCAGCTAATAATCTGCCTGGCTGGGAAACAGTTGGATCTGATACCAGTTAATGAGGGAGGAGTTGCAAAGAGTGTTAAACTCTAAGAAGGGGCTTGGCTCAGCTGTTGGGAAGAAGTGCAAAGCAAGGGTTGTACATCTTAAGGAAGACAGCAGGTTTTTTGTTTGCTAGCTTGTTCACCTGTTTGTTCATTTTACTGTGGCGACAAGGTTCCTCCATGTAAAATAAGCTGGTTTGAAACCCTGGAGTCAGAGCTGACTCCCCTGTCTTAGGAAGCTGGGTGAGTGACCTGCGTACATGCCTCCTTTCAAATGCTTACCTTCCTGGCCATTAAGAAAGCTCTGCTCCATGTCTCTTTGCCTGGAATTAGAAATAAATAAATTATAGTAATCTGTGATTTAGTTTTTCCCAAATTTTGTTCCACATTAAACACTTAATACCTATTTATGCATGGAATTATTCAGGAGCACCTATTTCTAAACAATCCTGTGTGTTGATGCTGTTATTCCAGAATACAAATAAGAACAAAAGAACTGCTATTTAGTGCTTTTGAAATGGTTCAGGAGGTTTAAACCACTGTAAACTGGCTTGTAGGTCTGCACATTTGCACTTTAAACTGCATTTAAACCAGTTTAAGTGTTATGTCTGTCCACACCTCTTTGGTAGTTTCATATTATGTCTCCTAGTTCTAGGATTGTATGAGAGAGAGTAAATTATAAATCTCTGTTTACTTTCTCTGCAGCACTTATTTTGTTAAACCTCTGTCATTTCCTTCCTCAGTCATTTCTTTTCTAAGATGAGAAGTCTCCCTCTATACCCTTGACATCTCTTTTTGCCATTTGAAAGTGCCTTATGCTAAACAAAATCAAGGCAGTTATTCTGGAATAGAAGTCCACACAGAAATTATTCAGTAATTGTTGCTTCTGAATAACTCCATGCATAGACAAGCCTTCATTCATAAGTACCAGCCCCACTATCACGTCCTCCTACACAGTAGTACCTAAGGTTTGTCTGTCTGCTCTTTACACCTGTTTCCTTTATTTGTTTTTAAGGATAGCATTGTAATAGTAATTATTATTCTTCAACTTGTTGGATATTTTAGGGGATAATTTTGTTGCTTATTATTAAAATCTGGACTTCTAAATAGACTGTTAGTGAAATAAAGTAACAAAAAAGATGACAAACAGCACAGACTTTTAGCTTAGGATACTAACTTTAGATTAGCACCTTAAACTGAGTGCATCCAGATGAGCGCAAATGTGCTGCATGTGGTGCTGCAGCCTTGTGTTCTGTGATGCACATGCAGACATTCCCTGCACTGCTAATTTGCAGCAGGGGGAGGGGTTGAGACCTGGAGATCTGGTGTCAAAAAAAGGCCAGCCCAGGTGCTGGTTCCAGCCTTCCCTACCCCACCCAGGGCAATGTGTCACATGCCAAAGTGTGTGTGCATAGTCACTCCACAGGGACCAGCAGCATGTATTGTGCCACGGCTCTTTGTTACTCGGGAAATGCATTTGCCTGCACATCTGGATCCAGCCTTTGTGGCTGTCTGTGGCTGAACAGCACCAATCACAGCAGAGTCATGGTCCATAACTTGGGTTCCTGGGCACTATGGTAATACTGTAACAGGGCTCAGCTTCATTACTGTGGGGAGGAGTGTGTCTGAGCCACCTTTGACCTAGGATGTCTTCCCACCCCCCAGCTCAGAAACTGATGCAGCTGTGCTGGGGCTGCACTGGCCAGCTGGAAGCCAGCACAATGAGCACAGCAATGGTGAATGGCCCTGGCAGGGGGAGTTCCCCCAGCTGCAGGCAGTTGGAAACCCAGCCACCCAGGCAGAGTGGAAAGGCCCACCCCCACAAGAGAGGGGGTTATAAGCAACTAGGAGTGCCTGCACGGGTCACTCTCTGGAGTGAGGGGAAGACAGAATGCTGGTAGGGCTGTATGTAGTTGGTGTGGTCTCTAGGTGGGCCCTCCCCACTGGGCCAATGCTCTGTGTCCTGCCTGCACCCAGGACAGGGCTACTGAGGCACTTGGACCACAGCCTGGAGGATGGACTCCAGAGGCTAGATACACCCAGCACAAGGATAAGTGCAACCTTTTTATTTACTGTTATTGTTTTGTGTTTTCAGTTACAGACCCAGGGCAGGGTGCCTAGGGCCTGGAGCAAAGCCTGGAGGCTGGGATAAGCCTCAAGCGATCTGACCAGGGAGGCCGGGGTCCTACTCGGTGGTTCTTCGGCTGACCAGATGCAACTAGAGCAAAAAAGGGTGAGGTGTGGCACCGCACCCACCTCAATACACCCAGCAGCAACCATCTGGGGCTGCAGCTACCAAGGTAGCTAATAAATGCACATAATAAAAGCAATCATAATTGTAGGGATAACCACAATTATGATATAATAAGATGGAAGTTGTTACTAAGCATTATAAAATGTTCAAACAAAGCTATGTCCTTCTTTGGTTGTATAAATGCTGGAATGGCCTCCATAGATGTATAAGACTCCCAAAACAGTACCCATACCTCATTTATTTTACATGGAGTGACACAGAGAATCTGAACAGATCAACTTCACACCTGCCTTGGTGCTTCTGAGTGCAGGTAGTGTGTGGCAGATCTCTGTGCTGGAACACAGAGAAAAAAGAAGTAGTTTAGGAAGGTAGTATGGCTAGTAAGTTCAAGCACAGCACCAATTTCTTGCATTACAATTTTATATAGCGGAGAGTATCAGTATGGATCCTTTATTCTGCCCATAACCTGCAATCACGGTTGAGGGCTCTCTGCATGAGTACCTTGGGTCCTGCTTGGAAGGCTGAAGTAAAAGAAATTCAGGCCTCCCCAAGCTGTACTTACTGTCACAGACCAACTACCATTACTCAGTTTTTGCTGATGGGATCAGAATTTAGCTCTTATTTTATAATAAATATATATGGTCACTTCCAGTGCTACATAATTAAATTCTGTATAGCACTGTATCTACCTACAGTAGTTCTAGAAACTACGTAAGTTTTTAAAAAACAACTTATTTTCTTTTATTTCTAAGTTTTTAACCCTGCTAAAGTATCCAGTGATGATGAGGAATTCAGTTATTCAAGCTATAGAGATTCTGGATTGTGCTGCTGGTGCACTAGCTTGATCTTCTTTTCCAATGTACTATCTTAATTTCAAGTAGTTTATAAAAGACTTGACATTAGTTGGATATAGGATACATGTAAATAAAAATCTCAAAGCAAATTCAGCATCTTGCAAATGCATGATAGAGCACAACTATGGCAGGGCTAAGTTTTAGTAATTTCAAATCCATGCTATGAAAAGAAGAAAGATATAACACTATCTTTTCTTTTCTTTCTTCAAATCATAATACAGATTTTAAATGCAGAGCTTACTACAGGTTTTTGGTAAGTTAATTACTATTATTTTGGTGCTGAGTTGCATAATAGTTATGTTGTTTTTATAAGTGGCAATTATGTGCTTTGATTTTTTTTTCTCTAAGTGGTCCCAAAACTTCCTCGCTGAAACCCCATTTCCATATACTAGTACATTCTTTCCATGTGGCTTGGATCAAATCAATTCTCCATCCCATTTAACCATGTTGTAAAAAGACAATCAGAATGTGTTTGGCCTATTCAAGAGAGAGGTTCGATGACTTAGTGGGACGCCCACTCACCTTGTGTCTTGGCAAGATGTTTGTGTTGGCATTGTAAAATGGAGGCTTTAATTCTGTGAAAAGAAGTCATTTTAACTGCAATGTGATTTTGGAATATGGTAGGATTTGTGAGACCCAGAAAGAAGGTATTTTTCCCCTATCTTTGAATTAAGACATGCCACAATCTCTTTACTTCCGACAGTGTAAAATATAACATTTCCTTTCCTGGGTGAAACGTGTTAGTTCTTTAACCAACACTAGAACATGGCTGTTTCCAACTAAAATGCAGGTGGAAATGCAAGTCAATAGGAAGAATGCAATTCTCTGAATTGGAATTTGACCAGGACACTAAGATTAACAGCCTCCTACTTTTCCTGTAGATACTATGGAAACTTTAGCAACAACAGATTATCAGGACTGTATTTCAACACTACTTCCAGCTAAATAACCCTAAAAATGTTCACTGGTACACACTGAACAAATCTGACCCTATTTGGCTTATAGATTCATAGATTGTAGAGTCAGAAGAGACCACAATGGATCATCGTGTCCAACCCCCTGCCCCTGGCAGGAAAGAGGACCAAGGTCAGATGACCCCAGCCAGGTGACTATCTAGCCTCTTCTTGAAGACCTCCAAGCTAGGTGATGGCACCACCTCTCTTGGAAGCCCATTCCAGATCCTGGCCACCCTTACTGTGAAAAAATTCTTCCTAATATCTAACCTAAATCCACTCTCAACTAGTTTACACCCATTATTCCTAGTCACCCCCTGGGGCGCTTTAGTAAACAGCGCATCACCTATTCCCCATTGACCTCCCCTAATAGATTTATAGATGGCCACAAGATCTCCCCTCAGCCATCTCTTGTGAAGGCTGAAGAGATTCAGCTCTCTCAACCTCCCTCCGTAGGGTCTATCACAAAGGCCATTAATCATGCGAGTGGCCCTCCTCTGGACCCTCTCAAGGTTCCCCACATCCCTCTTGAAGTGCGGTGTCCAAAACTGGACACAGTACTCCAACTGTGGCCTGGCCAGTGCTGCATAGAGGGGGAGCATCACCTCCTTTGTTCTATTAGTCATGCACCTGCTAATGCATGACAAGGTGCGATTGGCCTTGTTGATGGCCTCGTTACACTGCCGGCTCATGTTCAAGTTCCCTCTCTGCCTCCGAGCTGCTGAGAAGGACACTCCCCAACCTATAGGTGTGCTGAGGGTTCCTCCTTCCCAGGTGGAGTACCTTACATTTATCTTTATTAAATTGCATCCTATTTTTCTCTGCCCATTGATCCAACCTGTCCAGGTTATGACACAATTGCAGCACAAAGTGGCATATTTATGTGTGGCGCTGCCTGTATGAAGCTTTTTCTTTCTTTTCTTAATCTTTCGTGTGTGTATAAATATGTGTAGGCAGTGCTGTTTGTATGACTAGTTCAACCAATGATGTATGTATTTTAACACTAGTATTGACTCTGAAATACCAATTTAATTTTTGCCCATTATTGATTATTAGTGACAACTGCTGTGACTGAAAGGAATCTGTGTTTTAGGCACTAGCCCTTAGCCCAGGGACAGGCAATTATTTTGGGCAGAGGGTTGCTTACTAAGTTTCGGCAAGCCATTGAGGGCCACATGACAGGCAGCCCAGGGCAGATTAATATTAATTTTCTAAATTTTTAGGGGTCCTACGGCCCAGATAGAGTGGCCTGGCGGGCTGCATCCGGCCCCCGGGTCGCATTTTGCCCACCCTTGCCTTAGCCTCTGAGGTATACTGGCTTCAACGTGTAATGAATAGGTCAGACAGTACTTTGAAGTAAAAGAGTATTTGTGAGTGCATTCAGGTATTAAGATGGTTGCGTGGAAGAGCTATGAATGAGATTAATCTGGATGTTGAAGCTGCCTTAAATTATTATTTCTTTCTATTTTTATTTTTTAATTATTGCCTTGAAGGGATGTGCACATACATAATCCCAAATCTAATTAATGAAGGATTGTTTTCTTATGTGTGTGCTCACTCTACTCTCTCAAGCACTTGTCTACATACTAAAAGTACCACAAACTATTTGGCACAGTTGACAGCATCTGTCCAGGAGAAGCTCAGGACTGGAACATGTTAAATGCCACCAATTGGAGTTGAAGTACATAGCTCCAAAAATGAGCACCAAAGTCTCACTGAGCATTACATTCACCCATAAAAATTAGGGGAAAAAATACAGTAAGGTGAAACATAAAGAATTGGAGAAACTTACAGCAACAGCAAGCATGCAAAAGGCTAAATAGCATGCTAAAGGCTAAATAGCAGAAACAAGTCTAAAAATGCCTAGAAAACTTCATCTTGTGAAATTCTCCTTCTACCTTGTCTACAGCTATAAGGTGAAAACACTGTAGGGACAAACCGCATGTACTACTTTAATCTCTTAGAAGGCAAAGGAACACCTTCCTCATGGTTTAATGAAAGAACAAAAGAACAGGATATTATACGGAGAATCTAAGTATATAATGATACAACACACGCAATTTGAGTGACAGTATGAAGCAACAGCGTCAGAAGTGAAACCATAGAAGAGCAGAGGCTAACTCAGAACTGCAAGTTAATGAGTCAGTGTAGAAATAAAAATGTATACTTAACGGTGCCATGAGCAATGTCATCGTAGAAAGTAATAATAGAGGATGTGGTAGAGAACATTCAAAATAAACCAACAAATAATTATGGAAAGGAAAACAAGTGAAAGAAAAATATTCCAAGAGTGACAGATTTTGAAATAAGTAGACATTCGACTATGCCTATTACAAAAATTAGGCATGATAAAAGTCGTACTGACGTTGTGAATGAATATTGGCATATATGTAAATCTTTTATCAGCACCATTTGCATTTTATAATCTGGGCAGGCAATGCTGGGGTAACATGGGTGCAAGTCGGATACAGTGAGTGTATAAGTGACTGAGAAGGCCAACGTGCCACAAGCAGCTGCTTCCACAATTCTCACATATCCACATTCCCTGTAAACCAGACTGTTCCTGCTGCTGCTATTTCTTTCCCCTTTTGTGCTTTTCTAGTTCATTGGTATGTCATTGCTTGTCAAGAGGCATCGCACCTGCCTTTATATTGGTGTACCATTCGTGCCTATCAGCATTCAAAGATTCCCAGTGGTCAACTGGTATGTTGCTTTGCACCAGGTGCCACTTAAGAACATCCTTAAACACATCCTAGGGCAGCCGAGCTTCCTCTTGCAAGCTGTAGCTCAGCAGATAGCAGCTGCTCAGGCTTCTGCGTATCATCCATCTGTACTACGCATCCAGCCCAATGCAGCTGAGCCCTTACAATTAATGCTTCAGTGCTCATGCACTCAGCACACAGAAAACCCTCAGCATTCATCACTATCATACCAGGTAACAAGAACATAGACAGGAATCTTTGGTATAGCATCCCTACTTGCTAGAAATGCATTCTGTGTAGCATTTAAGGCTCACATCCATTCGGCACAGTGATCAGTACAATTTCCTTAGAGATCTTCAGTTTAGAAGGGAAACCAATCCCTTTCTTAATCCATACTCACTTGGTAAACTTGCCAAAAGGCACACTAGCCTTCCAGATAAGAGAGTTCACCTCCTTGTCCATAGAGGCATGGTTGAACAGGACCCTGCAGTGAAAGGTGAACATGTTAATTATGATTAGAACATTCCCATCCGTGGTTGTGGAAGGCTTAACATAGCTTTCTCCGAGAGCCAGCTAATATATGACCTCAATTTTCTTCAGGGTTATGGACTCGGAGGCAGAGGCATCAACAGTTTAAGTTCTGACAAATCTAGGAAAAGTACAAGAAATAGAACCAAGATCTTCACTTGGCCCCTATTAACATCCTCAAAATTTTTTATATGGTCAGTTGATCCAGACTATGGTGCATCATGTTTAAGCTAAGTATTCTAAGAAATTCCTAAGGGTGCTTAAACAACTCTGTGGAGGTATGCATAACTATGGCCTATCCAAATATTTCTCTATCATCAGTAAGAATGAAGCAGGCATGTTTACCTGGAGAGATTTTCCCTCACGTTGTTCTATGCGGCTGTATGGGACAGGGTGACCACTGACCTTCAGTAAGTGCTGGTACATGTTTCTGGACCACTAACATGTAATCCATCTCTCCTGGTAGCAAGCAGAGTCTAAGGTCATCAAGCCAGTCATCCAGGAACTCCTGCATGTTAGTAGTTGTGTTGTGATGGCACATTCCAAGAACTTTATGAATATGTTGTACAACTAAACCCTTCCTTGTGCCTCTGGCCTTGGACAGGTATGTAGCTTGATTGGAATGTGCATGGAGTTTTCTTGGTTCTCCCTTTTACACCACAGCACAGAAGCTGGATACAGTCCTCTTCCAGGCCATTTCAGGATATGGGCACAACACGGAGCAAGTGAAGATAGAGTGTGAACTTGCAGTGGGTCATCTACCCTGCAATAACTGTCTATGTGTATGCTCTTACCCTAAATTAGATGCGAGGCAGCTTACCCCTTAATGGAACCATTTACCACAGGGTAGGAATATGCACACAGACTGTCATCATGGAGTAAGTTCACACCCTAGCTTGCCACCTGATCTCTGCATGCCTCGCAGCAGCTGCCTGACAGCCAGGACAACTTTCGCTGCCCTGTGGAGATCAGGACTAGCTCCCATACCCTCTGCCAGCCTGGGGCTGGCACAGAGGAGCCTGGAGCTCCCCCTACTTGCTTTTGGCGGGCAGAGCAGGGCAGTAGGAGCC